TGATATTTATATTAGTTGTTGTTAATTAAGTTCTTATTTTTTTTCACTTAAAGATATAAATATTTGATCACCTATATAACCAATATAAAAGAACATGTAACTCAAAATGAAAACATTGAAATTATAAGAAATTATAAATGTCTATTACAAATACAAAGAAAATATGATGTCAAATAATACATAATGAGAAAAAGGAAATATAAATTCCTGTAATACATAATGAAAAAATGAAATACAAAGTCCTATCAATTAGACGTCGACCGTCTACCACGCACATGCCTCTTCTCTTTCCTAGTTGTGGAATATTCGTCTATGCCTTCATTTGCAATCTGAAGCAGGTCCACTGACACCTGATGTGCAACAGTACCCTCGGTTACATGACGACACGATATCAAGGACTGTAACATTCTCGCCATTCGCCTAAATCTAGCCTGCATTATAATTATATCAAACAATTAAATAAACAAGGTGATCAAAATTTAATAGTACAAGCAATGAAAAATAACATACCAGGGCCTCAGAAGGTGAAGGGGGAGACGATCTACGATGGGGTCGTACCTCCTGTGGAACATCGGGGCGTTGTCTAGGCGCAACAGTCGATCGCGCGTCATCTGCAGCAACAATAATATAAGGATGCGAAACCCTCCTGAACCACTGAATGTACCCATCGACACAGTCAGAAGGGGATGCTGCATGTCTGACATTACTCACAACGTGAGCTCTGAAGTGCAACCAAACATGATCAATGGCCACTACATCTGCATTTGGAACCGTAGTCAATGATCGTGGAATGTCTTGCTCAAACCCAAATTGCCTTAGCACACGCTCATGCAAATGACGACAAAGGGTGTCACCAATTCGAATCCATCCAGAATACATACAGATGCCGAAGAATGGCCGAATGGCCCGATGCCCCTCATACGGATGTCATACAACACCACTGTATGTCAGCGCATCCAACTGTGACCGAATCTCGGCGAGAGTGGAACTCTGCCTAGGGCTCTGCCACCTCATGGCACGTGGTGTGGTATCATCGTAAGAAGTCACCAACCGCCTCCTCCCCATGCCAGGGAAATGCTCGTATATCCAACTCTAAAAAAATAATTATTCAATTAAATTTCATCCATCTTCGAACATGGAAATAAATACATGAAATAAATGTCAAAGTTATAATTGTACCTGAAATAGAGTCAAATATCCAGCCATCTGCTTCGTGGAGGCAAGACTCGCATCCCCGAGCTGGTCGTACAAATAGGCGAGTGCAGCAACACCCCAGGCATATCTGTCACACGCGTACGTCTCTAAATAACAATAAGTAAGACACGCGTATAGAACTGGCACTCTTATTTGCAAAAATCGTGCATCCTACTAGATGCAACAAATATGCTCTAGCAGCATAGTCCCAATGTTGCGACTCACACCTTTGAACATATATCTCTCTAAGCCAGCTGAGTCTGACTTTCGGACCACGTGCGTCCTCCATCTCAGCACCTGTCGTGCCACCATCAACGCCGATCAGTTGCACAAGGGCTGTACGAGCCTCCTCAAACTCCAACTCCTCCAAATCACACATTTGTCCCATCATAGGCAGGTGAAGTAATGTCGACACGTCATCAATAGTAATCGACATCTCCCCTATAGGGAGATGGAAACTATTGGTCTCAAAATGTCACCTCTCTATGAATCCGAGGAGTAACCCCTTATCAACGTAATCATAACAAATCCCTGTAAGAGGCATCGAACTGGAATTCAACACAATGTGTTGAATTCCCTCGTGGCATGGTCCTAACTTATTTACTTTTTTCCCATGCGAGATCAACTTCAGTGTGTCCCCTTAATCCTACACATCAATATTTAATAAAATTTCTATTAAAAAATAATAAAATAAATTTTATTTTTGCACTCACTCGGCCTTGTGAAATAGCATAAGCTACATGCTGAACATAGTGCGTCAGCAATGAACCATCACGTGAACCTCCAGGAAATCCACCGACATCCTCTTGTATGTCATGAACATCCGCATGCTCCTCCTCATCGTCATCGTCGTTAGGGGCCTTAAATGCATTTTCCTCGCCATGAGTCTCATACGCCTCATATGTTTGTTCCTCAACGGCTCGCTCCTCAGCTATGGGGTCATCCTAGATAGGAGCTGCACGACTTCTACGAGCAGAAACAGTAGGTCTTCTCCGAGCTTCACCCTCCGACGAACTCTCTCCTCGAGAACTAAAAGATGCATCACGTGTTCTTGCCATTTCTAACAATAATTTGTTTGTTTAATTTCAAAAATTAAGAAAATTATTGTTTTAAATATCATTAATAAACTATAACAAAATGCAATTCAAAATAAATTAAAGGTTTAATCCTTTCGAACATCCCTATTTCTGTAGGATCGTCTCAAGTAGGTCCTCGTATTGTAAATGTTCTCGATTAGGTTCCTTATTATGAAAAATTGAATCAATTTAGGCCTTACCGTTAGTTCCATACTAACACCGTTAAAGGGGGTGACACGTGTCAGTTCGTGGTTTTTTTGAATTTTTTAATTATATTCTTATTATTTTTATTTTTATTTTTTATTTTATTTTTTATTTTTTTAAAAGTAAAATTTAAAAATGCCACGTGTCAAACTGATAGTGTGCCACGTGGCAATGACAGTGTGACATGACACTGACAGTGCCACATGTCATTGTCAGGCCACGTGTCATTGCATTAGTCTCAATTTGGTCCCTGTATTTTTATTATGTTGCAATTTGATCCCTGTATTTTTATTTTGTCTCAATTTAGTCTTAATTTTAAAAATTAAACAATTTTTTCCCTCCTCAAATTCGAACAAAATTTAAATTGTATATATTTAAATAACATAACATAACACCAGCATGTTATGTCACTCTTTTTTTAAAACCTTATAGCATAACATAACATAACACCTGTATTTTTAAACTCTTTTTTTAAATTGTATATATTTAAATTGTATATATTTAAATTTCATAACATAACACCAGCATGTTATGTCACTATTTTTTTAAACCCTTATAGCATAACATAACATAACACCTGTATTTTTAAACTCTTTTTTTAAATTGTATATATTTAAATTGTATATATTTAAATTTTCCCTCCTCAATTTTAACTCTTTTTTTTAAATTGTATATATTTAAATTAAACTCTTTTTTTTAATTTGTATATATTTAAATTGTATATATTTAAATATATATCTTTTGTATATATTTAAACAAAATTGGTTAAGATTTATATACAATTTAAACTTTGTTTGAATTTGAGGAGGGAAAAATTGTTTAATTTTTAAAATTCAGACTAAATTGAGACAAAATGAAAATACAGGGATCAAATTGCAAAATAATAAAAGTACAGGGACCAAATTGAGACTAATGCAATGACACGTGGCCTGACAATGACATCTGGCACTGTCAGTGCCATGTCACACTGCCATTGCCACGTGGCACACTATCAGTTTGACACGTGGCATTTTTAAATTTTACTTTTAAAAAAATAAAAAATAAAAAATAAAAAATAAAAATAAAAATAATAAAAATATAATTAAAAAATTCAAAAAAACCAGGAACTCACACGTGTCACCCCTTTAACGGTGTTAGTATGGAACTAACGGTAAGGCCTAAATTGATTCAATTTTTCATAATAAGGGACCTAATCGAGAACATTTACAATACGAGGACCTACTTGAGACGATCCTATAGAAATAGGGATGTTCGAAAGGATTAAACCTAAATTAAACTAATAATAATTATTTTATTAACTACAACAAAAATTAAATAAAAGAAACAATTAGCTAATTAATTAAAAAAATATATTTAAATATATTTCCATTTAATTATTATTAACTTAATTATTATTACAAATACAAATTTACTATAAATAAATTAAATACAAATACAAATTTACTAATATTAAATACAATTAAATTAATAATATTTATTTCAAGAAATAAAAATAATTTAAATATATAAAAGTTTACATATCTAATTCAAACTTAATCAATTCATTTAGAAACTACAAATAGAAAAATTTATAAAATATTCAAATAATAATGTAAAAGGTTAAAGAAAATCTAAAAATAACTATATATATATATCAAATAACTATATTTAAAAAAAATTAACAAAAAATATATCAAATATATATTTCAATTATAATAATTCTAAAAACAATTAAAATATTAAAGAAAAAAAATACAGCATCCCGAGAGCCAAAACGGATGTGGGATGTCTGATTAGCCTTCAACGGATATCCCACATCCGTCGACGGAAGTCGGACATCCGTCGAAGGCCAACAGATGTCCCACATCCGTTTTGACCTTTCGTGGAAATTGTTCAGTCGCGACAACCACCAAGGCAGAAAGCACCAGCACATAAACGGAAAACAAACCTGAAAGCCGCAGATCCACGCTCCTCCACCTAGATGAACGACCTCTCCGCACCAACGGCTGCTCCACAAACGGTCCTCCACGGGAAAATGAAGAAGAAAGAAATGCAGGAAGAGAAGTGAAACGGAGAAAAGGCTTGACAGAAGAGAGATTGGTAAACGAAAATGGAAGAGAGAAAGATAGGAGAAGAGGCTTGACGGAAGAGAGATTGGTAAACGGAGATGGAAGAGAGAAAGATAGGTGCAGGGAGTAAACTAGAGGTTTTAAATAAATTAAAATATTAAAATATTAAAATAGTAAAAGTAAAAAAAATTTACCTGAGGATATAATTGAAATTAAAGAAAATTGGGGAGGTGAAGGAAGAGATGTGTGGTGGTGGAGGGAACAACACCCTTTCCTTTGGCTGGTAGATTTGATTTTTCCACTCATTGAGCCATATTAGAAGTTGTTTGGATGTCGCTGTCCTGGATGGGCTGACTACAATTAAGTGGGACGGCATCGTTTTTGCTGAGATCACTACTGCCTTAGGGGGGTCCCCTCATCTTCATTCGCAAAAGGGGTTTGAGCTACTCATTTGGAAAAAAATAAAAGCACTCCCTCGAGCTAGGGCATGTGCAAGATGGCAGAGCAAAGAGAGATAAGCGAGAAGACCGACCCTGCTCGGAGAAGAAGACCGGTGTTGCCACGTGGAGGATCAAACGACTGGGAGACAGAAGAAAGGTTGGTCGTCCGATTATAAAAGCGTCAAATGCAAGCTTCCTTATCCCTCTTTTTTTGCTTTTTGTTCTTTTTCTTTTCTTTTCAGACCCTATATAAAGGGGTTTCTGCAATGTAAACAGATATACACTTTTGATATACACTTTCAGTTTACAATTCTACGCTCTGTAGATTGGGGTTCTTTTTCGCTTTCGTAGAAGTAGAGTTCTGGAGAGTCTTGGTGACTTCCGGTAGTGTGTAAATTTTCTTTTCATGTTAATAAAGTTCAATTTTGTGTTTTTGTTCTATTCTTGTTTGTGTTTCGATTTTGTTCTTTGTTTTTTATTTCTACCATTGTTATGTTCTGAGAAAATGAATTGGACTCTGATTCTCTGTATCTTTGTAATTCCTTTTGAATTGAATGGCTTTATAGTGAGCATTAATTCTGTAATTGAACTCTATTTGAGAATTGTGAAGGAAAACATCTCTCAAGAAGACCTCTTGATAGAGTGAGAATTGCCAATTCAAGTTCTGAAACATGAACTATAAGACCCTGTGATGGGCTTACTTTAGTTAGAATGTCTTTCTGAAGAGTAATTGAGACTCTATCTTTCAATCTATATCACATTTGCATCTATTCTTTGTTTTTGCTTAATATCCTTAGTTTGCTTCTTTATATTCAGTATTTTTGTTGACTTGATGTTAGAATAGTTTTATGATTTTATTTTTCCTTCCATTTAGGTTCTGTTATATGTTCGACTGTTCTTAGCATTCTTAGTTAGGTTTATTTTCTTGTTTTCTTTCATCATTTACATATTGTAGTGATAATCTTGAGGTTTTGTTATTAGACAGTAGTAATGCTCATTAGTTTAGGTCATTTTAATTAGTTGCATTTAATTTTCATATTCACTTAAGACATGTAACACCCCGGCAACTTACAGGGAATATTGACTGCCCCCACTCATCACATCGTGGCTTTCCAATGTGCTTTGTCCTCACTTGCAAACTTTTCGGGAAAACATCCCAGAAGGTCACTCATCCCTAAATTACTCCAGGCTAAGCATGCTTAACCATGGAGTTCTTATGGGTTAGGCTATTGAAAAACAAATGCATTTTGGTGATATGCGTAGCCGAATCAATCCCTTTAAGTTATCCTTCAACTGTATAGTCCCATACCTATACAGTTTCTAGATCCCTCTCATTCCGGTGTATGTTCGATTCATCCATGTGTCCCTTCCACTAGAAGCCTGCCAGGAGCCGCTCCTTGTTTGTGCCCTTTGCACTTCGTGCCTCTTGCGTCGACGATCACTCCCCGCCCTCGTCAGTGCCCGGGTGTCACATGCCCACCAACTTCCGCTTGGTTCGTCCTCGAACCACACCGTACTGGGAGAGGCTAGGCTCTGATACCACTAATGTAACGTCCCAATTTAGGGTGTCACATATCATATTTATCTTAAAATGTTCAAAAACGTCTTACAGCAGAAAACAATGCTAATTAAAAACTTCAACATTTATATCTTACAAAAATTAAATAA